GCCGGGCTGGGGGGCAGCGGGTGCCGCAGGGGTTGGTGCTCGGGGTCCCCGCGGCCTGGGGGACAAAGGGGGAGCGGCGCGTGCAGCCGGGAGGAGGGGGCGGGGCCGGGGCGCCGAGGCCCCGCCCCCGCCCCCTCCTCTCCTCTCGGCCCCGGAGATGCGGGGTCTCCCGAGAGGGCGGGGGCTGATGCGGGCCCGCGGGAGGGGGCGTGCGGCCCCTGCGGGCAGCCGAGGCCGGGGTCGGGGCGGCCCCCACCGAGGGCGAGGTAGGCCCCGGAGCCTGCTGTCTCTGCCCCGGGCCCAGGCGTCCTGGGCGCCCCAGCTCCCCGCCGCGCTCACCAGCGCTCCTGTCCCGTGTCTGCCCTCTCAGGGGGACACCCCTGCTGAGATGGGGGCGCTGCTGCTGGAGAAGGAGCCCAGAGGAGCCCCGGAGCGAGGTGAGTGCGGTGGAACCGGGCCTGCTGGACCTTCGCTTCTCCTGACCCGGGATCCGCGGAGCCCCCGCCCTGAACTTTTTCTCTCCCCGCAGTTCCTGGCTCTTTGGGGGACACCCCTGCCAGTGAGGAGACCTTGCCCAAGGCCAGCCCCGACTCCCTGGAGCCTGCCGGCCCCTCCTCCCCGGCCTCTGTCACTGTCACCGTGGGCGATGAGGGGGCTGACACCCCCGTGGGGGCCACACCGACCATTGGGGATGAACCCGAGAATCTGGAGGGCGATGGGGGCCGAGTCCTGCTGGGTGAGAGGCCGGGCGTGCACGGGTGGGCTGGACTCGTGGCCGGCGCCTTCTTACCTGGCCCCGGCCCCGCCTGTCTGCCTCTCCTAGGCCACGCCACGAAGTCCTTCCCCTCCTCCCCCAGCAAGGGGGCTGCCTGCGCCAGCCGGGCCAAGATGTCAATGACAGGGGCCGGGAAGTCGCCCCCGTCCGTCCAGAGTCTGGCGATGCGGCTGCTGAACCTGCCCGGTGCCCAGGGCCCGGCGGCCGCTGCCGCGGGGCCTGAACCCCCTCCACCCACCACCGTCAGTCCGGAGGGGCAGCCCAAGGTCCACCGTGCCCGGAAAACCATGGCCAAGCCAGGAAATGGGCAGGTAGGCCAGGTAGGACTCGTGAGCGGGGAGTGCTCGAGGATAAAGCTAGGTGTTTTGGGGGGGTTTGGTTTTTTGTTTGTTTTTAACCAGTTTTAGGTCTCCTCCAATTCTTTTTTCATGCATGGGCTATGAGCTGGGTGTAATCCGTGAGCAGACGTGTCTTCCAGGAGTTTAGACTTTGGGGAACCGGCAAGAGTAGAGTACTTCACACAAGCCGCGCCGAAGAGATAGTGGCACAGCTGAGGACCCGGGAAAGGAGGGTCCACTTTTCCTTTCTACCTCCGAGGGAGCTTTCTCCTTCCTCTTCTGAGCCTTTATGTGGCATAGAGGGCCTCAGAAATGCTAGAGGATCGAAGCGGCCAAGCTGCAGAATCCCAGAACCTTCAGGGGCGGTTTTGAAGCCTCCTTGTTTTGTTTTTTCTGGGTGTGATTTAAGAAGCCAGTGTCTGAATTTTCTGGTTTGTCCTTATTTTCTGCAGGGTGTGGGGCGAACCCAAGGCCTCTCACAGGCTAGGCCAGTGATCTAGAGCCTCCAGCCCCTTTAATATTATTTTTGAGTCAGGGTCGTGAGCTGCACAGTGGGTCACGTGGTTGTGATCCTCCTGCCTCAGTCTCCTGAGTAGCTGGAATTATAGGGTGTGCCACCAGTGCACTTTTGTTTTCTGTATTTTTTTCTTGTGTTATACTGCACGTAAAATTGATCAGCTGCTGGGCATGGTGGCACATGCCACTGTTGAACAGTATGTCCCTAACTGTCCTTTCCTCGGCCCCTGGCGGCCACCATTATTCTGTTTCTAGGAATGTGATTACTCTACCTCATATTTAATTGCATGGTACAGTATTTGTCTCTGAATAACTGGCTTTTTTTTTTTTTTTTTTTTTTTTTGAGACAAGATCTGACTCTTGTAGTTAACACTGACCTTGAACTACATTATGTAGCACAGGTGGCCTCAGACTCTCCTGATCCTCCTGTCTCAGCCTCCAAAGTGCTGGGATTCCAGGCGTGTGCCACCACACCTGGCTCTCACTGGCTTATTTTGTGTCGTTTATGTTGTCAAGATTTTTTTGTTGTTGGGGCTGGGGTGATGGCTCAGTGGAATAAGTGCTTCCCTGGCAAGCGCAAGGGCCTGAGTTCAATCCCTGGTTCTGCCAAAAAAAAAAAAAAAGAGAGAGATTTTTCTGTTGTAAGTTCCAAGCTAGCCTGAACTATACAGTGAGACTCTGTCTCAGAAAAAAAAAAGACCAGCAGAAATCAGTAGCAGAGTTACCCAACCTATACCGAATGTATATATAAATATATTTGCTGATGCGCTGGAGCAGTTAATGCTTAAATTTTTTAAAAATTTTTTATGATTATATTTTTTTATTTTGCATGCTTTATCTGGTAATATAAACAACTATTTTAAAGACAACATTGTGAAATATAACGAACTTTGTTGAATTCCCATTTTGTTTAGTGAAATTGTGTATCATTTCTAATGTGTTTACTACTTTTTATTCTGCTTAGAAAAATACCTTCTATGAGATTGTCTAATATTAGCAAAAAAAAATATATGAATAAACTGGGCAGAGTTGAGGCAGAAGATCACAGGTTCAGGCCTAGCCCAGGCAACAGAGTGAGGCCACGTTTCAAAATAAAGAATGAAAAAAGCCAGACGATGTAGCTCCATGAGGAGGGTCGAGGCTCAATTCTCACTACTATATAAAAGAGAAAAAGAGAAATACGCATTTTTTTTTAAAAAAAAGAAATACACGTTTTGTCGCATACCTTTTATCTGTAGTCCTAAAGGGTGTGCGCGATGGAAGTGGTTTCACTGCTATATTCTTCAGGGAACGGTGAAAGCCTGTTTGTTCTACGCACGGGCAGTCTCCTGAAGGCTTGCGCTGCCCTGTGTTGAGTGCTGAAGCTCCGCTCTTTGCGCTCGGGGTCCTGGGTTATTTCCACACTCTGGCTGTTGTGGAGCCCCTGCTCAGGGCGGTGCACGAAGGGCCTCTGACCTCATGGACTGGGAGGAAGGGTCTGCCTTGTGGTTTGGGGAGCCGAGTGAGGGTTAGGCGCAAGGCGTGCTTGGGCGGCTGCACTCGGGGAGTAGCAGGATATAAAGCCTTAGTTTTGCAAACATAATTCATCCCAGAAACTTATAACCCAAAGCGCTTGTATTTCAAGGTAAATTTCCCCATAAGAAAGAACGGAAGCCTAAGACGATTCACTCCTCAGCCCAGAAATATTCATGTAAAAATGATTATTGTAATTTCATATAAAATAATAAATTAACCTATAGTTACCTTTGCAAACCTTCCTGGCTGGTGTGAGGGAGGCCAGAGGATAGTTTTTGTGCGGTGTGACTTTTTTTTTTTGCCTTTTTGCAACAGGATCTCACAGGCCTTGAGCTCACTTGGTCTCAAACTCACAAAGATCCTCCTGCCTCAGCCTACTAAATGCTGGGATTACAGGCATGTGCCACCATGCCTAGCTCCTAAATATTTTCATTTGGCCCAGAATGTCCAAAATACTCTTTGGGGGGGGGTACCAGGAATAGGAACAAACTCACAGCTAGGGCTTGCCAGGCAGGCTGTGTTGCTGAACTGTACCCCCAGCCCCATAGCATAACTTTCACTAATAATCACTGCTGTTGGCTCAAAGAAATCTGTCTTTTCCGGTAATTTTTTTTTTTTTTTTTTTTTTTTTTTAACATACTGGGCATTGAACTCGGGGCCTTGTACATGCTAAGGAAGTGCTCTATCACACTCCTTCCTGTAGCTTTAACAAGCAACCTGTCCAATGACATTTGCCTTTGCCTCCTTTTAAGGATGTCACAGACATGTGAGGTGTCATTAAGCAGATTCATGCATGGCTCAAACTGCTACAGCCTTATTTGGGAGGTGTTTTTCTACAGAATTTTGCCATTTCCCACATTTTATGCATTCCTTTAATCTCATTTGAAGAGAGAGGTTCCTCTGCCTTTTCCTCTTCCTCCTGTGCAAACATGATCTCCTCTCTAACCTCTTGCTGGGGGAGAACCGAAGCGCGAGAAGAACCATTGGCTGGGTTGTGATCATGTGACATGCGGCGTCACCTACTATGCGGATTGCTAGACATGGCTCGCTCCTTCTCAAGTTAAAATTCACTAGAAAGGCTTGCTCCTCTTGCCGACACTCAAGGAGCAAGTTGCTCACGCCTCAGGGTTTCGCTGTGCTGTTATTACCGCTGTCTGGTATCTGGAGCTTGGGGTGGTGGTCTGAGGTGTGGCTCTCCCGGCCACCCCTACCTTGGGCTCCAGGCAAAGCCGTGGCTGCTGCCCAGCCTCCGCGACTTGATGCTGTGCCTGTTCCCTCTCCTTCAGCCTCCCATCCCTGAGAAGCGGCCCCCAGAAGTACAGCACTTCCGGATGAGTGACGATGTCCACTCCCTTGGGAAGGTGACCTCAGGTCAGTCCATGCCCCACCCCTGGCCCACACAGCTGTCCTGGGGTGAGGACCCAGCCCCACTCCTTCCTTCCCTTCTAGATGTGGCCAAGAGGAGGAAGCTGACCTCTGGAGGTGGCCTGGTGAGCTGATCCAGGGCAGGACCGCGCCATCCGGGGGGCTGCATCTGTCCTCAGAGAATTGGGGGCTGCTGGGGGAGGAACAGCAGCCTCAAGTTTGCTGATCTTTTTCTAGTCAGAAGAGTTGGGTTCTTCCCGGGGTTCAGGAGACGTGAACCTGGACAAGGGGGATCCCAGGTCCCTGGAGGAGTGGGAGACAGTGGTGGCAGATGATTTCAGTCTCTACTATGACTCCTACTCTGTGGATGAACGTGTGGACTCTGACAGCAAGGTGAGTGGAACAACCTGCCCCCGGCCCAGGGCCCAAAGCAGCTCTCCCTCTTTCCTGTCTCTTTGTTTTCTTTTCCTTTCTGCCTTGTTTTTTTCTTTTTCTGGTACTGAGGGTTGGACCCAGGGCCTCCTGCATGCTAGGCAAGCGCTCTCCACTGAGCTCTACCCAGCCCTTCCTTTCCTTTCATCCTGAGTGAGTGCACACTCACGCACTGCCCATGCTGGGTCCATTCCCGACGGTGTCTATGCATGCCATCCTTGCCCCTCTGCCAAGGTGGCCACGCCCACAGCCCTTCCGTGGCTCCCTTCCTGTGTGTAGGCTCCTGTCCTCGCTGTGTTTGCTTGTGTCCTGTATCTCCCTCACATCGCAAGTAGTCCTGCTGCTGTGCTTGGAAGTAGACTCGGAGAATGATGGTTGTCAGCACGCAGCCGTGCCTGGGCCACCCCCATGCGCCGTGCCAGGGCCTTTCATGGGCATCCCGGGCACCCCGATTCATGTGGAAATACTTCCCCCCGCGCCTCTAGACGCGAGGTCTCTTTCAGCAGCTTAACATCACTCATCGCTGCCCTCACACCCCGGAAAAGCTCACTGGTGACTCCTTCGCACCATCAGGTGTCCCCATCAGTCTGCCCATTGCCTCAGGATTTGGGTGCTGTCCAAAAGAGACCCACATGTTGACTCGATTGGCATTTGCGTTAGATATCTTTTTTTTAGGGGCCGGGGAGATAGCTCAGTAGAATAAGCACTTGCCTGGCAAGCACAAGGGTCTGAATTCAATACCCAGTTCCGCAAAAAAAGAAATCATTTTTTTTTCTTTTTTTTTTTTTTTTTTTTTTGTGGTACCCTTTGCCGGGCAGGTGCTGATGTCACTGAGCTATATCCCTGACCCTGTATTGGGTATCTTTTGATAGATAAATTTCTTCATCTTTAAAAAAATAAAAGGAGGGGCTGGGGAAATAGCTCAGTTGAATAAGCACAAGGGATTGAGTTCAATCCCCGGCCCCGAAAAAAAAAAAAAGAAAAATAAATAAATAAATAAAAGGAAAAAACCTTTGCCCTGACCTTTTATTTGTGGAAGAGACCAGGCCAGTGACTGAGATAGTTTCTCAGACTTGAGAGTGGCGAGGGCATGGGGACCTGTGCTCCCCTCCCTGGCCCTGCTTGCGAGCTGAAGAGGTGACAGCCTACAGCTGGCCACTCAGTGTGTGCAGTGCGCGGTTGCTTCCCTATGGCTGGGTCCGGATGACCCCAAGCTGCTCTCGCTCATCGCCAGGCTCCTTGCGGCCCTGGGTGGCCACATGCATCTGTGAGCTTCGCGGCAGCGTCACACTGGCTGCCAGGCCCCGTGTGTTGCCACACGTTGCGCCCCGTCGCGCCCAGCCCCTCCTCCTTCCTGCCACATGCACTCTTGGGGAGAGAGTGGGGCGCACGGCCACTTCCTCGTGTGTTCATCCGTCCCTCCGTCCGTCTTGCCTGTCTGTGTCCTGTCCGATCTGTCCTGCGCTACGTCTGCGCGTTCCCCCAGGAGAGAGCCGTGGCCTGGGGGTCGATGTCTCCCCATCCCCGTTTCCCTCTCTCCCAGTCTGAAGTTGAAGCCCTGACTGAACAACTGAGCGAAGAGGAGGAGGAGGAGGAGGAAGAAGAGGAGGAGGAGGAGGAGGAAGAGGAGGACGAGGACGAGGAGGAGGAAGATGAGGAGTCGGGCAACCAGTCCGATCGGGTAGGAGCCGAGGCGGCCCCCGGGCGCGGGGCGGCGGGGACCGGGCTCTGACCCCCGCTCCTCCGCAGAGTGGCTCCAGCGGCCGGCGCAAGGCCAAGAAGAAGTGGCGCAAAGACAGCCCGTGGGTGAAGCCGTCCCGGAAGCGGCGGAAGCGGGAGCCCGCACGGGCCAAGGAGCCGCGAGGTGAGGGGCCTCCTGGGCCGGGGACCCCCGTCACCCGCTCCCGGCCCAGGGGCGCGCACGTGGACACAGGCCCATGCATGTGCACCCGCATGCACCTCGCGCGGCGCCGTGAGCTCGCACTCTCACTCTCTCTGTCTCTGTGTCAGGAGTGAATGGTGTGGGCTCCTCAGGCCCCAGTGAGTACATGGAGGTCCCTCTGGGGTCCCTGGAGCTGCCCAGCGAAGGGACCCTGTCCCCCAACCACGCTGGTAAATGCGCATTGCCGGGACAGAGAGCCGCTAGGGGGCGCCCTCGGGGCCGGAGGGAACGGTTTTCTGGGGGCGGAGGGAGCGCAGCCCTAGCGGCGTCCGGCCGGGCTTGGGCTTCTGGAGCGTGGAGGGAGAGGCAGAGGGAGCAGAGCACCCTCCCGCCAGGTGCCGCCAGGCCTCCCTCAGCCACCCTTTCTCTGCCCAAGGGGTATCCAACGATACGTCCTCCCTGGAGACAGAGCGCGGCTTCGAAGAGCTGCCTCTCTGTAGCTGCCGCATGGAAGCGCCCAAGATCGACCGCATCAGCGAGAGGGCGGGACACAAGTGCATGGCCACCGAGAGCGTGGACGGCGAGGTGGGCCTGGGCCGGCGGGGGTGGGGGCAGGAGGTCCGGTCAGGACACAGCCTGACCCTCCATTCTCGCCTGCCCACCTGCCCACAGCTGTCCGGCTGCAACGCGGCCATCCTCAAGCGGGAGACCATGAGGCCATCCAGCCGCGTGGCGCTCATGGTACTCTGCGAGACGCATCGTGCCCGCATGGTCAAGCACCACTGCTGCCCGGGCTGTGGCTACTTCTGCACGGCGGTGAGTGGCAGCAGGGCGTACAGGTGGCCTGACCCTGTGGGAGGTGCTGAGCCTGACCGTGTCCCACCCTGCCCAGGGCACCTTCCTGGAGTGTCACCCGGACTTCCGTGTAGCCCACCGCTTCCATAGGGCTTGTGTGTCCCAGCTCAATGGCATGGTCTTCTGTCCCCATTGTGGGGAGGATGCATCTGAAGCCCAGGAGGTGACCATTCCCCGGGGCGATGGGGGGGCCCCTCCAGCCGGCACTGCTGCCCCTGCGCCCCCACCCCTGGCCCAGGATGCCCCAGGGAGAGCAGACACCTCCCAGCCTAGGTACCGGCCTCCCCTGCCCTGCCACCTGCCCTTGCCCACCTCCCACCCTGCCCCCAGACATTGGCACTTTTTCCTGCAGTGCCCGGATGCGAGGGCATGGGGAGCCCCGCCGGCCACCCTGTGATCCCCTTGCCGACACCATCGACAGCTCAGGGCCTTCCCTGACCCTGCCAAATGGGGGCTGCCTCTCAGCTGTAGGGCTGCCGCTTGGGCCGGGCCGTGAGGCCCTAGAGAAGGCCCTGGTCATCCAAGAATCAGAGAGGTGAGTGGACATCACTCTGAGGAGTGGCGGGGGCTGAGGCCAGAGGAGCAGGGTCCACATGGGTGCTAGGTACTGAGCAGCCGGCTCCCACTTTCCCTGTAGGCGGAAGAAGCTACGTTTCCACCCGCGGCAGTTGTACCTGTCTGTGAAGCAGGGAGAGCTACAGAAGGTGGTCCTGATGCTGTGTGAGTGTCCAGACCCTGAGGACTCAGTACAGGCGTGTGGGGCAGGCACACCCCCTGCTAGCTTGGTCTGACCCACTGAGAGCCCTGGAGGAAACATGGCGGGGCCAGCAGCAGGCGCTGAGAAGCCTTCCAGGGCAAAGTGCCTCTGCCCCTCACTTGCCCACCACCTGTCCCTCCTCCTCCCAGTGGACAATCTGGACCCCAACTTCCAGAGTGACCAGCAGAGCAAGCGCACACCCCTTCACGCAGCTGCCCAGAAGGGCTCTGTGGAGATCTGCCACGTGCTGCTGCAGGTCAGTGTGGGGCTGGCCCTCTGCCTCCCTGAGAGCCCCAGCCCTGGCTGCCCCTTTCCCCAGGTACCTGCCTGCCCCGGTACCAGGTCCTTGTGTCCACCCTGCAGGCTGGAGCCAACATCAATGCTGTGGACAAACAGCAACGGACCCCCCTCATGGAGGCTGTGGTCAACAACCACCTGGAGGTGGCGCGCTACATGGTTCAGCGAGGTGGCTGTGTCTACAGCAAGGTGCAGCAGGCGGGCAGCAGCCCAGGGAGTCAGGGCCGGGTGGGCCCAGCTGGGGGACCGCCTGCCACACCTGTCTCCCTCAGGAGGAGGACGGCTCCACCTGCCTCCACCACGCAGCCAAAATCGGCAACTTGGAGATGGTCAGCCTGCTGCTTAGCACGGGACAGGTGGACGTCAATGCCCAGGTCAGTGGCCTCTCAGGTCCCTGCTGGGCATGGCCGGGGCCCCTTCTCCATCCATCCACCTCTGGTCCCTCACACAGTCCCAGTCTCCGCCTCCCTCTTCCATGCCCCTCTTTTCTGTATTAGAGCTTAGATCATGAGCTCCTGGCATTGCCAAGAGCCCTTCCTGGCTGTCCGGCACACCTCCGCTGAGGCTTCATTTAGCCCCCATTCCACTCTGTCTTGGGATGACCCTGCTTTGTCCAGGGGAGCCCCTGAGTCCTATGGCCTTGACCTCAGCATGTTCTCCTGACCCCCAGCTCAAGCCCTGGCATTTCTCTTGAGAAGTGTTCATTCTATTAGGTAGAGAACAGTGTGTGGCCTTCAGGATCTGGTTGGTTCCAGGTTGGCCCTGCCCTCAGGACTTCGGAGAGGGCAAATGCAGGAAACCATGTGTTTGAGAAGGAGAAAAACTCTCAGTTCCTTCTTGCGGCCTCAGGTGGTAGAATCAGCTGCTCCCATATTATAGATGAGCCTGAGGCCCAGAGACCGGCTAGGGCTGGGATTCAAACTCTTGGTGTGAGCAGAGCGTGTTGGTGAGTGGGCACCGTGTCCCCCACAGGACAGCGGGGGATGGACGCCCATCATCTGGGCTGCTGAGCACAAGCACATCGACGTGATCCGCATGCTGCTGACGCGGGGTGCCGACGTCACCCTCACGGACAACGTGAGGGAGGAGGGCCCCTGGCCGCGCTGCGGGTGGGGGCAGCCCAGGCCTGAGCAGGGTGGAGGTGGGGCTTGGGGCTCGCTCAGCTGGACCCTGCCCCTGTGCTCGCCCCTTCAGGAAGAGAACATATGTCTGCACTGGGCTTCGTTCACTGGCAGCGCCGCCATTGCCGAGGTCCTCCTGAATGCCCGCTGCGACCTCCACGCCGTCAACTACCACGGTGACACGCCCCTGCACATCGCAGCCCGGGAGAGCTACCACGACTGTGTGCTGTGAGCCCCCACCCCGCCCCGCCCCTGCTCCCCAGCCCCGCCCCCTACCCCGCCCCTGCTCCCCAGGCCTATACACACTCCCATCCCTGCCAGGCTGTTCCTGTCCCGGGGGGCCAACCCGGAGCTTCGAAACAAGGAGGGGGACACGGCGTGGGATCTGACCCCTGAGCGCTCCGATGTGTGGTTTGCACTCCAGCTCAACCGAAAGCTTCGGCTCGGGGTGGGAAACCGAGCCATCCGCACAGAGAAGATCATCTGCCGGTGAGCCCAGGGCCAATCCTGCCGCGGGTTCATTGAGCCCCCACGGCTGCCCATGCCCCCGGGATGGTTCACATGTACAGCAAATAAGAGGACCCCCAACTAGACTAGAATTTCAGACGGAAGCCAGACAGTGCCGCTAGTGCAGCCACTCAGGAAGCTGAGGCAGGAGGATTGGGCCCAGAGTTCAAGACCAACCTGAGCAAGACTGAGAAACCCATTTTCAAAGAAAAGATAGCTAAGGTGAACAGATAGGTGCTTTTTAAAAACTGTACAAGTTTCCCCTGCACTGTCCCCTGGCCCACGGCTGTTAATCCCAACCACTCGGGAAACTGAGGCACAAGGATCAAAAGTTTGAGCCAGACCGTGTTCCATAATAAGATGCCAGGAGCCGGGGCATCAGTCAGCGGCAGAGCACTCATCCAGCGTGATGAGGCCCGGGTTCCGTCCCCAGAACACAAAAGAAAAAAGCCCCATTTGGTATTTGGGACAAAGTGATGCTCAAGTGTTCTTCCTTGTTGATGTAAAAGTCGGCTCCAACGGGGCCTCCTACTGTCATCAGGTGGCCTCAAGCCCCACCCTAGGAGCCCCAAAACCTTGCTTTTCCGGACCTCACCACGCCTTGGGGAGCCCCTCACCCCAGCCCCATCTCGCCTCTGCCTAGGGATGTGGCTCGGGGCTACGAGAATGTGCCCATCCCCTGTGTGAACGGCGTGGACGGAGAGCCCTGCCCCGAGGACTACAAGTACATCTCCGAGAACTGCGAGACGTCTACCATGAACATCGACCGCAACATCACCCACCTGCAGGTGTGCGCTGGCCCGGGAGGGTCCCTCTCCTGGGCCTCAGAAAGATGGCATACTAGCGTGACCTCAGGCACAGCCCCATCCTGTCACGGGTCCTGGGGAAGAGTGGGGCGAGGGCCTGTGCTGACCACTGTCCGCCCTGCAGCACTGCACGTGCACGGATGACTGCTCCAGCTCCAACTGCCTGTGCGGCCAGCTCAGCATCCGGTGCTGGTACGACAAGGTGAGTGCGTTCCACCCCCTCCCTGGGCCACCACTGATGGAGGCTGCCCCTCTTGGCCCCTAACAGCTATCACCTGCCTGTGAAGGGGCGGGCAGGCAGCGCTGGGGTCTGGGCCTCTGCCAGGGCATATGCAAATGAGGCTGCTCGCCGAGTATTTCCTGGTCTCTGACCTTGGAGCCTGTGGGCCCCACCTCTTCCTGGCTCTGGGGCCAGCGCTGGATTTTCCTTGGCCGCGTCTTGAGGGTCCTGGACCCTACACAGAAGCCGCCACCCACCCACCATCCTCGCTCACCCAGGATGGGCGGCTGCTGCAGGAGTTTAACAAGATCGAGCCCCCGCTGATCTTCGAGTGCAACCAGGCCTGCTCTTGCTGGAGAAACTGCAAGAACCGCGTGGTGCAGAGCGGCATAAAGTGAGGCTCTGGCCCTGCCCACCCCGCCCTGCTTCCCCAGCTGGCCGCAGCACCCACTCTCCCTCTCTCCTGCCCTAGGGTGCGACTGCAGCTCTACCGCACTGCCAAGATGGGCTGGGGCGTGCGTGCCCTGCAGACCATCCCCCAGGGCACCTTCATCTGCGAGTGAGTCTGCGCCCCGCAGGCCTCCCAGACCACGGTTCCTCTTCACCTTTGGGCGGGTGCTTTCTCTTCTTGCCCAGTGATCCCTGTCCCTTGCTGCCCTCTGGTTTCCCGGCAGGGCTGTTTGCTTCCTGCTTCAGCCTCCCATGTCCACACCCATGCCCCCTGGCAGAACCCGCCCCAACCCACTCTCGCCCCACCCTGGCCCCACTCTTGCCCTACCCCATTGGTGTGTCTCCTGGTTCTCCTGGCATCTGCCCACTCCTGTTAGATTGCCTGGCTCCTTGCTGCTGTCTTCACCTGGGCCAGCCCACCCATGCCTCTTCCACCCTCCTCATCCCACAAGGGCATCCCCAACTCAGGCTGCCCATCCCCCCCAGTTGAGCCCTCTCCCTATGCCCCCACTAGGAGGTCACAAAGCTAAGCTGCTACCCTGCCCACTGCCCACTGCCCAGGGTTCCAGTCCTGCAGCCCCAGGGGTGTCCCTGTCTCTGCCCCAGGCTCTGGCCCTGTCCATGCACTCCTCCCCACCCACCCACACACACACACACACACACACACACACACACAGCTTTTGAGCACAGCGGAGCCCAGTGTGTTGCGTCTGCCATCTATGGTGGCTGAGGGGTGCCAGAGAATCCAGGGGTGGGCAGGCCAGGCTGAGACCTGTTTCCCTGAAATCCCACTTGCATCAGAACCGATGGTTCCTACCCAACAGGTATGTTGGGGAGCTGATCTCAGATGCAGAGGCAGACGTGCGAGAAGATGATTCTTACCTCTTTGACTTGGACAACAAGGTGGGCGGGTGGCCCCTACCCCCGCTGCAGTGCACCACCCTCCACAGTCAGCAGGTGGCCTGGGGGAGCTGGGCTGGGGTCTGGTTGGGGAGAGTGAAGAGGCCCCCTCCCCCCAGGATGGAGAGGTCTACTGCATTGATGCTCGTTACTATGGCAACATCAGCCGCTTCATCAACCACCTGTGCGACCCCAACATCATCCCGGTCCGGGTCTTCATGCTGCACCAAGACCTGCGATTCCCCCGCATTGCCTTCTTCAGCTCCCGAGACATCCGGACAGGGGAGGAGCTGGGGTGAGGTGCTGGGTGGAGGGGAGGGCCAGGCAGGCCAGGGACCAAGGGCTGCTCAGCCCTCCTCAGGGTGCTCACATCTCTCCAGGCCTTGTTAACCCATTTATATTGAAGCTTGATGTTCTTTGAATCTTTGCATGGAATTCATGTGTGTTACCTAGAAAAACTCAAGGAAGAAGAGCTTGTCATGTGCTGTTCCAAAAATGCAACATTGAGCATGAGAGGCTTTCAGCACAGTCCCCGACAGTGGGCGAGCTTGGGGTTCACTAGGCTTCCGAGGGGCCCTGGGAGCCTGCATTTCTCATAAGTCTGTGGCACTCAAGGGCCTGGGTTCTTCTGGGAGCAGGTCTTTGGGGTAGACCCTGGTGGCCGAGTCCAAATCCCACAAGCTCTTGTGCCCTGACAGCTTCGACTATGGTGACCGCTTCTGGGACATCAAGAGCAAGTACTTCACCTGCCAGTGCGGCTCAGAGAAGTGCAAGCACTCTGCTGAGGCCATTGCCCTGGAGCAGAGCCGCCTGGCCCGCCTGGACCCCCACCCAGAGCTGCTGCCTGAGCTCAGCTCCCTGCCCCCTGTCAACACCTGAGAACGGACCACACCTGTCCCTACCCTGGCCCCGTGGACAGCAGCGCTCAGCCTCCTGCCGCCTGGCTCACCGCCCAGCGCCCTTCGCACATTCCTCTCCAGGGCCCTGGAGGTCTGACAGCCCCTCTCCCGGAGCTGGCTTCTCCCTGGGAGCCTGACTGGAGACTGCCTCCACTGAGGTTGGATGATTTGAAGTTGCTCCTCGATTCCACCTGGGTGTTTTGTTGTTGTTTTTTTCCTCAGTAAATGTCGGGTTTAGTAATAAAGTGGCTGCGTGAGTTTCGTGGGGCATTTGGAAGGAGCAGGTCCGAGGGGCAGAGGCTGGCTGTGGGTGCAGCTTGCACAGGTGTGGCCCATGTGGGTGCCATCCACCCAGTGGGCGAGGAGGCTGTGGCCTAGTGGCCGCACAGTCATGGCTCAGACAAAGCCAATCTGGCTTTCCGTCATGGGCAGAGGCTGTGGGCTGGAGGACGCTGTGCTGGGGGCCTTTGGGGACCTCAAGGCACTTTCAAGGCTAAGTCTGTATCAGGCTCTGAGCCTGGCCACCAAGGGCACTGTAGCTTCCAGTCCAGGAGGAGGGACTTGAGTACGGGGGTGGGGCTGCAGGGAGGGCGGGGCAGGCGCAGGTGAGCCGCCAGGTCTCCCCGTTTCCCGGGCTCCAATCACTCCGGAGACGAGACGGAGCCATGGGGGGAAAGCGGAGTGAGGAGGAGGAGGAGGCCTACGGTGAGGCTGACGGGCAGAGGCCGGGAGGCCGGGAGGCCGGCTGTGCATTGCTTGGCGGCCATGGGGCTGAGCTGCCCCTGGGAGGGGGATCCAGCAGTCAGGTGCTGAGGGCAGGGCCGGAGAAATAAGCAAGTGGCGGTGGAGAAGGCAGTACCAGGTCCTGGGAGGAGGCTGGGCTCACTAGTCCCATCCCGAGGATTTGGTGTGCTCCAGGCTGTGGAGCCTGTGTTCCTGGAGAAAGAAGGGGGAAACGTTCAGGCTGGGGGTGCTGTGGATCCCAGGGCAGGTCCTGGCAAACAAAGCCAGGATGGAAGGTGGAAGAGCCGAGGTCTCAGCTGGAGAGGCAGGTGCCTGAAGGGGCAGGGTGGGCCTGGGGCGCAGGGTCCTACCCCGGGAAGGTGGGGCCACCGGCTGCTCTGCTCTGTGAGGGGCTGTGGGTCTGAAGAGTGGTGAGAAGCGGTTCCCCTGGGATCCCTGAGAGGAGCTGGGGTGCCGTCCTCCGTGGAAGGGGGCTGAGGGACAGAAGGGGCTGAGCCAAGGCTCCCCCAAGACTTCCTACAGTAGCTTTGGGTCAATTATTGACCTCCTGCCATGGAAGCCGGAGAGGTGGGACAGAGTCCACCGTGCTGTCCAGCTGAACCCTCCTTGTGAGACTCCAGTCTGGCCCTCGGCCTCCCCTGTAGGGCCCATGCAACCCGGCCCCTGTCCCCTCCTCCTCCTGTGTACCCAGGGAGGACCAGGAACAGGACGTGGCCACAATCTCAACCGCCAGCCGGCTCAGGTGTCATTAACGGCCACCCAGAGCTCGGCTGTGGTTTGGGGACCAAGAACCCTTTGGGGTGGGCTCTGGAGGGGCTCCCTCTCCTCTCCTTCCTAGGCCAGCAGCACTGACACCCTTGGCTCCAGTTTCTTTGTCCTGGGCCTGGGGCCAGATGATGGAGGTAGCGCCTGGAACTGGCCTGAGGAATGGCTGTGGCCTCCCAGAGGTTCAGGGCAGGGCCAGGGGGAAAGGGCAGGGCAGGAGGTACAGCGATGGACTCCCACATCCAGCTAGCTGCAGGAGCCTCTGGAGCAATGGGCCGGGCCGGGGGAGGGTAAGGGATGCCGCCCTTTGCAGCCTGGCAGCCTGAGGCCCAAGCCAGAAGCCAAAGGCCCTTTTCTTGCCCACCTGCCTCCTGGGCAGAGCTGGATCTGTTTCCCAGTCCCTCTCCTACCAGTCTGAGCCAGGCAGGATCTGGGGCCTGGGGGCACCCAGGAGGGCCAGGGCCTGGGTAAGGAGGGGTTTGGTGCCTCATTTTCCTCTTCCTGGCCCTCAGGGAAACCAGCCCAATATGACCCCTCCTTTCGAGGCCCCATCAAAGACAGGTGAGCTCTGGCCCCCCACCCCTGTGGGGTCCTGCTTTTCCTTTGTATTTGCTGAAGTATTGGTAAGGAACTTAATTCTGCCACAGTAGCACACACCTCTAATAACATTTGGGAGGCTGAAGCAGGAGGATCTTGTGCCTGAACCACATACTGAGACCCCATCTCAGGAGAAAAAGCTCGGAAGAAATTCCTGCCCTGGGAAAGTGCTGTGTATGCTGGGGAAAGGGGGGGGGGGCTGCCTGGGGACGTCCTGCGTCTGGGTGTGAGCATTGTGGGCTGCATGGGTGTGTGCTGGGAAAATGCGCCTGGCTGAGCACTTAGGAGCTGCGCTTCCGTGCGTGGTGCGGGAAACAGAGCCAGGGCCCACGCATGCGGAGCGCGCGCTCCACCGCGTTCGTGCACCCGCCTCATGCTTTTCTGTACAATCTCAGAAAATACCCACCCAGAAAAATGGGTTTTCATCATGGGGTGACGGTGGTCATATCCCCAGCCTTCTTTGTTTGTTTTGTTTTTAATTTTGAGGCAGGGTCTTACTAAGTCCCTAAGTCGCCAAGGCTGAGTTTGAACTTGTGGTCTTCCTGCCTCAGCTGCCAGGAGTGCTAGCATTCCAGGCCTGTGACCCTATGTCAGGCTCAGAAAAAGTTGTTTGGTTTTAACAACAAGAACAGCCCTGTAGAGACCCATTCTTGAACACTCCCGACTCCACCCTCACCCCTCCAGATGGTGCCCCCACATTCCCTCCCAAAGTCTCCCAGCTCAGGCTCCTAGTTCTCTTTTTTATTTATTTGGTACAGGGTCCCGCTAAGCAGCTCAGACTCATAGTGATCCTCCTGCCTCAGCCTCATGAGAGCTGGGATTACAGGTGTATGCCACCATGCCCAGTTTTGGTGGTGGGCACAGTGTGCCCGGGGTTCCAAGGCCAGCACAGCATGTGGTAACGGGTATCGAACCCGGTCCTTGCACTTGCCAGGCAGGTGCTTAGACTGCCAGCTACCTCCCCACGCTCCCATTTCTCGCCCAGGAGCTGCACCGACATCATCTGCTGCTTCCTCTTCCTGATCTTCATTTTGGGGTATATCGTGGTGGGCATAGTGGGTGAGTTTCCTGCCACCTGAGCTGGGGCCATGGGGGAGGGGCTGCCTCTGTCCTCCTATAACTCATTTGTGTGTCCCTGTCCCCAGCCTGGGTGTATGGAGACCCCCGGCAGGTGCTGTACCCCAGGAACTCCACCGGGGCCTACTGCGGGGTCGGGGAGAACAGGTGAGCCCTTTGGCCCCATGTGGGACCCCTCCCTGTCGCCCCAGCCACACCCCTGTCCCTTGCTGACAGGTGGCTGGAGCACCCCAGGGTCATGGCTCAGGGACTACCATTGGTATCCCCAGCCGGGCTAAACTTGGGTGCGTAGCCTTGAGCACTTCCTCACACTCCCTGAGCCTTGATTTCCTGCACAGGGTGATTCAGGAGTAGTACCAGCCATGCCCACATGCAGGAAATGTTTAGTAAAAAAAACCTGTAACATTTATGTAGCGTCTATAATGTTCCAGGCGGACAGCATACTCCACACACACAAACTCTTTTAAAGTTCCCGAGATCGGGGCGGGCTGGCGCACAAGCGACATCCCAGCACTCTGGGAGGCTGAGGCAGGAAGACTGTAAATTCAAGCCCAGCCTGGGCAAGTTATCTGTTTACTGAGACCCTGTCTCCAAAACAAACAAAAATCACATGCTGGGCCTGGTGGTGCACACCTGTAATCCCAGCTCTCATGAGGCTGAGGCAGGAGGATGGCTTTTAAATTTGAGGCTAGGGGCCAGAGAGATAGCTCAATAGAATCAGCGCTTGCCTGGGCCTGAGTTAAATCCCGGGTTCCACAAAAAAAAAAAAAAAAAAAAATTTGAGGCCCACCTGGACTAGAGTCTAAGGCCACCCTGAATTGCATAGTAAGACCCTGTCTAAAAAAATAGATAGATAGATAGATAGATAGATAGATAGACAGATAGATAAATAGACAGATACACACACACACACAATAAAAGGGGCTTGAGATGTAGCTCAGTGCTCAATCCCCAGTAAAAAATAAAATTAAAAATAAATAAACAGGCTGGGAATATAGTTCAGTAGCATAGTGCCTGCCTAGCAAGTAAAGTCCTGAGTTCAGGTCCTCCCAGAACAAACAAATGAATAAATGGAACCTCATGAAGTAGGTCATATTCCCCACTCCCCTTTACTGGAGATGGAACCCAGAATCTGCACACAAAACTATAGCCCCAGCCTTGCTTTGTTTGTTTGTGAACAATATCTTCCTATATAGCTCAGGCTGGATCTCAACTCGTGAAAATCCTCCTCCTTCGGCTCTGGAACACTGGGAATTACTGAGACAAATCAGCAGCCCTTTTAAAATAGTTCTTATTGTAAGACAGCTGCCAAGTCCCCAGACTGGGCTGGAGCTCTCGATCCTCCGACCTCCGCCTCCCAGAGTACTGGGATGACAGGTGTGCGCCACCACACCCAGGCGGAACTGCTGTGATTTAACGGGGAACTTGGGCAGAGCTTGTAAATGACGTGCGCCCCAAGCAAGCCACGAGGGGGCCTGGGCTTCACGCTGGTGCTTTGGGCGGTTGGCTGCACAGTGCGAGTTGTGAGCGGGTCGGGGGACTCAGACAAGGGAGCCCCAAAGTAACCAGCCGAGCTGGGCCGGGAGCTGCACAACACCCATCAGGCGCTCTGGGGGACCCCCATGGCTCCTTCCTGCCCCCAGGCCTCCAGCAGGCCCTGAAACCTGTCCGCTCCTTCCCACAGGGAGAAACCCTATCTCCTGTACTTCAACATCTTCAGCTGCGCGCTGGCCGTCAACGTCCTGGAAGCCCTACGGAGCGGTCTCTCATGCCCCACACCCCAGGTTAGACCCGGGGCCGCCCACCTGGCGCCTGGTGCCCCAGGAGCGGGGCTCAGCGCCTCAGCACCTCCCTGGCCCCCAGGTGTGTGTGGCTGCCTGCCCAGCAGTCGGATGGGCCGTGGAAACAAGCCAACTCCCCCTGACGGTTGGCGAGGTCTTCTACAAAGCGAACAGGAGTTTTTGTCTGCCAGGTGTGCCCTCAGATATGGTGAGCACTGGCATCCCTGTCACCCTCCTGCCCGAAGGGTGGCCAGAAGCTGGGGAGGTGACCACTGACTGGCTCCCTGGCCGAGCTGGGCAGCTGAGCCCCAAGGTGGCGAGGTGGAGGGTGAGGGCCGCTCCTCCCTCATACTCTCCTCTGCCTGCTGTCCCCTCCCCACCGCAGGAAGTGCTCCACAGCCTGCAGCAGGAGCTCTGCCCCAGCTTCCTCCTCCCCTCCACCCCAGGTGAGAACGCACAGCCCTGCTCGGGCATCGCCTGCCCCCACGCTTTTATTTCTCGAGAGGAAACCAGGCCCAGAGAGAGTAAAGCTGTCTGGTTTGTCCGTGGCGAAATGGGGTGGCCACTGGACAGGTCTTCGTTTCTCTGTGCTGAGGGACACTGCAGTCAGAATATCAGCTCTTGAGCTGGGTGTGGTGGCGCATACCTGAGCCCAGCACTTGTGAAGCTGGGGTAAGAGGGTCGCCACGAGTTCAAAGCCAGCCCGGCTGCACAGTGGATCTAAGAGGGTTGCCACGAGTTCAAAGCCAGCCCGGCTGCACAGTGGGTCTAAGAGGGTCGCCACTAGTTCAAAGCCAGCCCGGCTGCACAGTGGGTCCAAGGCCAGCCTGAGTACCCGGCAAGACCTTGTCTCTGAAAACCATGAAAGCATATCAGCACTTGTGGGTACTTGCGTTAGGCCAGCACCAGGGCCGGGGCCGGGGCCAGCACCGGCAAGCTGGGGACCGCTGCTCCCTGCTGGGGCCCACATCTGAGCATCTTGGTGGAGCGAGCCAGCAGAGGTATTCACGAAGAGAATGCATCATAATCCTGTGAAAACTTAAAGAATCTGGCTGGGTGGCAGGGTCACCATGACCATTTTCTTTTTTTTTTTTTTT